GTTTTTCATTGAGTTGGATCGGACGCGGGCGGTACAGCTTTCCGGAGTTTGCCAAATTGATGTGATCTGCTGTTTCCAATGGAAATAATCGAGCACATTTGTTCGTTTCTTGCATGCTATCGAACTTTTTTTCAATCAAAATTCCTAATGATTATTACGGTTTGAACACAACAAAAATAGCTTTAAACAACTCGAACTAAACTATACGGCTGTTCTTTGTGCTTGCTTAGCTTCTCCCATTTTTCTGTCATGTGCGAGAGTAATACTTGACTCAAAACAGTAGTAGTACGACAGAATAGAAGTGCTGTGCCTTAAGTCGAACAGTGTTGCTCGTGATGCTGTGGTAAAGTTAGCCACCAATCCGGATTGTTCGGTACAAACATAGTTTAATTTGCTTTCATAAAAGTCAATTCCCTTTTCTCTTCATTTATCCCTATTCGATTCTTGTCCTGACAGCGAAAAAATCCTACGATACCTATCTTCATCTGCGTTCCGATTGGCACGTGTCCGTATTTCTCTGCCTATTAGACAATTGGTCTTTCTATGCGACCGGGCATCAACCGACTCTGGCCGATATCCCCTGGGATGCAGCGTTCGCTATCCACGTGGGTGATCATACAACACACGTGTTACCCGCCCTGTTGGTGCTCACACATCTGTTCGCTGGTCCGTTACTTGTGGCCACCTCTGTTCCGCTTTGTCTCACCGCTCCACTAATCTGGTCCAATCTGTTGGGCTGTTCGGATTTGAAACGACACTCCCATCTGTCCGAATTAATGTTCCCGATATCGGAACACAATGCTGCACAGTTCACTGCTGCGTTGGATCGTCTGTGTTGGCGAGTATTCTACGGTAAATCCATTTTGGTGAGTTCACAACCAGTAGTTATGTTATCCGCTCATCTGACAACGTACTACGCCAACAGTTCGGTTATTGATTTCATGTAGATTTTGTGCAATCGGTCATCGAGGTACGCCATTATAGACTGAATAAATGAAATTTTACACTAATTTTGTCCTCATCAGTGATTTTACAGCGGAAACTGATTGATTGATTGATTGGCACCACTAGTGTGAAATGAATCGCTTTGAACTGTCTAATGTCGACTGTGGTCCACTACATTGATAGCCGGTTGGATTCTGTGGCAATCGGTTCATTGTGTATTCGCATCATCATGCTGTACACTGATTGTATTTGTTGCATTTTGCAATCAAACGTGATAGATCAAGAATCCGTTGTCTTTTTGGAAAAGGCTCCTTAAAAACAATGGAAACGTGTATCTGCTGTGCATATGTGTGTACATGGAGCTATCTTCAAACAAAAGGGTTTTCAGCGTTCCACATGAGCTTGCACATCGCCTTTCGGTATGGCCGATAGCGGTGATAACATTTTTAAACTGTTGGCCTCATGCTGTGTCTGCACAAAAATTCGAACTATCTTAAAAAAGTTTGCTTCAGACCAACAAAACATTCTGCTGTGCATTCGGCACTGTAGTTAGATTTCTATCGACCCCACCAGATACCTCAATGAACAGCTATATGACCGCAAAAAACGGAGGTGTGTGCTTTTCAGTGCGTGTCCAGGAGAACGGTCTGCGTGAATAAGGCAAGCTTAGGCTCTTTGAGTAATCGGCTACGACACCAACGACGTTAACGGTTCTCGCTGGGCCAGCATTCCCTCTGTAAAATGCCATTCGAGTCTGACAATGATACCGTGATATGGTACTTGCGATCCGCCACAAATAAAACGGTTTACCCTTATCTTTTTTATTCAGGTAACAAGGTTTCTCCGGGGAAAGGTGAAGCGGTCAAATTACTGATCATTGGCTGATATGAAGCCAGCCTGCTTCCCGTTGCGGCTTGCACTTGGATGTGCAAAGTCTATAAATAAAGGCGTAACCTCGAGTAGCAGACAAATCGGCGCTCGGGATACCGCTTGTAATTGCATTCTTAATTATCTCTCGCATTCATTGTGATGTCTATGTTGATCTGGTTGGATAGATTTGCGTAAAAAACTGCTAGCCACAAATTATCACTGGTTGCATCCAATAATTCCGGACGAGCGTTCAGCGTTCTAAGTCATGCCTTTTTGCTATCCACCGTATGTGCAAGAGTAATTTTTAGATTCTATTGCGATTGAACACCACTGATCAAGTTAACATTCGAATGACGAGTTCAATCAGCTTGATTGAAATGCAATAGATAGTGCATGTTGTAGGGTCGACAGAGAAACACTGTTCTCGGTTTTCAACTAATCGTTCTCTCGTGAGACAATATCTTGTCTTCAGTTGTCGTTTCGAGTGAAATTCTGCACCGCAGTGAACTCCGTTTGACAATGAGTGTCCTGCACTATTTGTTTTCCATTTCTATTTTTAGGGAAACAGAGAATTCGAAACATAACGTTATCGTCCCCTATTATCGGCTAAAACAAAATAAATGCGACAAATAATTCAGCCTCAGATTTCATCCGGGATATTCTCTGGTATATGCTGGGGAAAACCTGTCTAGGCCACTTGCTTACATGTGAATTGATGCGTTCCATATACTTCTGCTCTACGGCACAGAGATATGAGAATCTCGGGAACAGGATGACGATAAACTGTCGGTGTTCGAACACCATTGCGGACACCACATTGCACGTCCCCGGTGGGGAAACCGGACAAACGATGCTGAAGTTAGACGCAGAGTTGTAGGTGATTGCGGTCGCCCACTGCGTTTTGCTTTAGTCTGGGCATGTGTTACGCATTTCCTCGAGTAGATTGCCACGGCACGTGTGGTGGCTGGTTAGAAGTAAAGGGCAGTCAAACTAAAACCTGGAATGTGGGTATGAAAAACCAAATCAGGAAACTCGGTCATATAGGTCACGTAAGGCTCCCCGGTTGAGGATGCTTAGAGTCACTGGGTGATATGGCTGAGTGTCGCGACCGGTGGCGTTTTTATATCGACTCAATTTGCCTGTAACCTTAGTGTACCGGAATGCTGTATTTTCACTAGTATAAGGGGCAAACATCAAATATTCTGACTGAGGACAGACTTTCTGATCAGTCCCATGATCACCAAGTGATAAATAGCGAAACATCAATCAAGGTGCCTTTTTACATTATTCATTCTGCTTTTTTTATTACACTACACGTTACATCAACCACTTGGGACTTCGCCTTTTGGTGCGGTAATCACCCGTCTTGTTTGAAGATCAAACTGGCTTTTCGATCGGATACATGATTGCCTTCCTGCACCGATGGTTATTTCCCATCTACATTGCATTTCATCTGTGTGAAGTTAGAATCATCTGCCTCTCACATGGGTGGAATTGAGTAATCCGTGTGTGCGGATTGCGATCACCACGCATCAGCACGTGATCACGCGAGACATTCGCTTTCTTTTGCTTTACCAGCGGTTTTGATTGGAAGGCTGTTCGCGTTGCGATCTAGGGCATAACGGAAGCGATGGAGCTTGCTTGCGAACAATGGACTAGTTCGAAATGTGCACTTCAATTGTGGTAGCCACTGGCTGTAAACAGTTTGAAGGTTTCCTGTGTGTGTGTGTTTGTAAAAATGTGACTAGCCCTATCGAGAATAAATGCTTCTTAGATCAGATAGTAGACAGTTAATGTTTCGGGACTTTCAGAGGTGCACATAGTGCTCCCTACTGTCTCTCTCTCTCTCACCAACTCGTGGAACATGAGAGATGCCAAAACCATCGCTCTGGATGTGTGCAGAGTCAGCCCGAATGAGAATTCAATCATATCGACTTCTGTCCAAATCACACCGGTTCAGTGTGCTCTCGGTTTGTGCACACTATTTCAGACAATTGATTACGCAACCCGCCCCCCAACCGGTCGAACTCATGGTGGCAGACAAGACGAATCGTTGTGCAAAATCAAATTAGAAAAAGATAAACTTATTCGCAATATCCCTGATTGCTCAAATCCTGTTGACCAGACTAGCTGGCATCGAGGACAGCGGAAGTGGGAGAAGCACAGAGCGGAACGGAAAGAGATACCGAACGACAATTGCAGTATAAATTTCACGCTAGTAGTAATTTGTTTTCCATGACTTGCATCAGATAGTCAATAGCGTATTGAATAACCCAGACTGATGTGTTGGATTCGTACATGTATTTTTATATTTTCATACACGCTTGAGTTCAAACTATATGCCAAACAAACTAGGCTATAATAATCTTTGTAAAAAGAAAACACGTCCATGATTTGTTCGGGGGCGTGATACTGCTAGATTGCCCAGGGCAATGCAGGTGAATTTTCTTGGAAAAATTAAAAACCGGAGACTTTGGCTAGCTAGAGCCTGACTCACAATACAGCGGAGCGGTGTGGGGAAAACCGCAATCCATTGAGGACCGGTGTCCAGTACATCGGATCATACACTCTTTGGATGGGGTCAAACGTTCAACGTACCTGATACATCTCGATGCTCCATGGAACCGGTGACTACGACCGTGAACAGGTTGGTGTGGGTGTGCGGTTTGTACGCCACTTGGTTGGGTTGGAATCCGGGTTTGTAACCAACTCGCCTAAGTGAACTTCCAGTGGTCCTCCAACTCGGATGTCGGCTTTTCGTCCTCTCACATTAGTGAGAAAACACGGGAATGTAGTGAGTAGCGCTTCCTCAACAGAAACTATTTGAGACGCTTGGTCCTATGGGAGCATTTCGTGATGAGCAAGGGAAGGGTGACCAGGCGCAACCCTAGACACCCACCCCCGACCATACTGAGGCTTTCGGAGGCTTGTGTGTGTTTGCATTGTTTTCGGCTGACCGAAAACAAGCAGTTCAACTACAAGGATGGATTAGGGGAAAACGTGATGCAAAAATGTGCAACTTGAAATTGAAAATATATCGCAGACCTTCTTTAAATCCGTCCTCATTAATTGCGTTTATCGTTACAATGAGCCCCACTTTTTAATTCTACATCTACCCGGTCTTTGTTGGTCTCCATATAGTGTCTGATGCTTCCCGTATTGATAACGACTTGGACATATTTCAGTGAATAGAGTTCCATTGTATCTTCCTCGTTTTACCTCCGCGGGCAGCTTAAAGTCATTGTATTCCGTGCAAATTACCGTTATCATTTTCCAGTGCACTGTAAATGGTTCTGGACGGTAACGTGTATGAGCTGTTACGTCGGATTAGCTGAACAATACATTCTTTGTTCTACTCCTCGCCCCCCCCTCCCCAATCGTATCATACTGCACTGACTTGCACTCATCCCCCCTCCTCCTCCTCCTTGTTCCTGGCCAATCCAGACACTAGGCAGTGTACTCGGTGTGGGCGTGCTTCGTCGTCATTTGATGGTATGGAAAATTTTCGCTCCTCGACTGATTTTCTCCATCGCCAGTCTTCTGGTGACCGGGCTGGCTTTACTACTGGTCCGTTCGACCACTGTGTTCGGTGTTCATCGAGCGGCTGTTCGATACTGCACCCGGTCAACCGTAAACATCACGCCCCAGTTGCGTTCGACCATGGCCACTGTCTCACATGGATCGGATAGCCGGACAGGTCGCGCATAAGTTATCCGTAGAATTTGACTAGAATCCAGTGATGAATCTCCCCACAGTTCCTTAGATTTCTTCATTCGATAAATCAGAAAATCTGTCTTGTTTTCTTTTGTATATTCTTTCTTACGGATTTGTAACACGATCTCTCCATCCCCCGCCTAGTTTACTGTCTTTCTGTAACTTGGTGTGATATTTTGTAAGCTTATCATGTACAAAAGTAACCATGTGTATCCACGTATGTTTGCGAACTCTTCAAAACGGAAAAAGCTGTACCATTTTCTACGGGCTATAACATGTCTAAACAAAATGAACAACAGTCTTGTCAAGTGGATAGTAGTATATGGTTACGCTGTACCTGTGCCGCGGTTTCCAGTTGGCGGTCTTCAGTTGGTTTGTTAAATTCGGGTTGCTGACGA